AAGCATGTGACTGCTGCTTTATTTAGTTGTGATCAGAGGCGGAGTTAGTATTTGAAACTTATGAGTTCGAGATTTTAGGCTTTTATATTAATAGATTCTAAATTAATATTTCATATATATTAAATAAATTTCTTTAGACAAATACAAAATTTGGATGAAAGTTACTGAGTTTGGCCGAATCCATAACCTAAACTCTCACTCCGGCCCTGTTATGGCTATTTTTCAATTACTATACAATTGTTGATAAAATTTTAAAAGTGGCTAGTTGTCAAAATCATCCCTTCTTTTTCCTCTTTTTTCTTCTTTTGCACAAATAAGTTGTAGACGTAATTAGTATTCCATACGTTGCAATGACTCTGGGTTATCACACAAATGATAAGGGCTGTCCATGCCATGTTGCAGTTTTCCAGGAAAAAATAATGCAGCAGCACTGTTCTGCTGTCACTTTCCTCCTCCCAAGTCCCACGATAAATAAATAGAGACAGACTTGTGCTCCCTCACAACCACTCAAAAATATACTTAGTACAAATTGACCGACTTTAATTTCACTAGTACCAAAATTGACATTCTAAAGTCTTAACCATGACTTTGATATCATTACATGGTCAATTTATAAATGCAATGCCAGAACTGAGGGAAGAACAGGACAACCAGGTTGACGTTTTCATAAGGGCTAAAGAGACATGTTTACTGTAGGGTCACAAATGCCCTCTTCCATAAGTTGGAGTACACAATTTTGACTTGGTTTTACTTTGACATTTTCTTCCTCTGTCTTATTTGTTCGTAATTTTGCCTCTTCAAGAATTATCTTGACAATTATTTACTCCTTGATTCATCAAATATATGTCAAGAAAATGGCAAAACTTGCATGAATTCAGAATTCTCAAAGCAAAAGGAAAAACAACACTATAGGAGAAGGAACTGTTATTGAGCTCCCAACAAACTAAAAGTAGAGAGGCTGAAAGATTTCATCTTATCCATCACCTTAAACTATGAACAAATGCAAGAACTTGTCTCTTAATTAACAATCTATTTTAGCACATCAAATTAAAGTCTTTCTTTCTTAATTTACCACATTACTGTTTATTTCCGTTAGCACTAAGAAACTCCTATCCTCCTTGTTTTCCAGCCTCCACGTCCCTCTTAGAGATATTAGTGTTTATTTCAGTTCAGACTCCTTCCCCCGATTTCCTCGAAATGAAAGAGAGACAGACCAGTCAAAAATATCCCGTCAGTGGCGCTTTCACTAATACAACATGTAGTACACAACTGACACTATTAACCAGAAAACACTCCAGAGACTAACAACATTATTAGTCTAATGAATTTGATATTTTTAAATAGACAATCTAGGATGGCAATGGGGGCGGTACGGTGCCGGTTCTGTTTTAACCCACAAAATTTCATGTGCACCCATATCCACCTGCCCCGCACCTGCACCCGCGGTCACCCGCCCCACAAAAGTTGTTTTTTTAATTACTTTAAATTTTCTGCACAAACTGTTTAAGCTAGTTAATATCATTAAACTAATTCATTTTTCCTTTTTCTTAGGTATTTCCTCCTTTCACTTTTACTTGTTCATTATTGACTTTGCACACTCTTAAAAAATAATAAATTAAGTGCATAATTTACCATGATACCCATATTAATTGATGTATAGTCTTAATGGATTTGGAAAATAATTTGGCATTAGTAATTAATGCTAAGGTAAAATAGGAAAAATAAATTATTTTTTTTCTTGATATGCAAAAAGTGACAAGTAAAAATAAAAATTTATTTTTAGAATACTTGACAACTAAAAGTGAACGGAGGGAGTATCTATTATCAATATGAATGTTTCTTTTGGGATTTCAAATCTGGGAATTTAACCTAAGACTAGAGGCATTTCGGTTGCTTCAATCATATGTCTTGCTGAAGAATATACTTTTGAGCTATTAGGACTTTAACAGAGATAGAAAAAAATTGACAATAATTAATCTAGATGAATTACATAGACGAAACAAATCAAAAGAACTTCTTTTAGAAGAAATTGTTGGCACTTCCTTGTTCAACTATCAAAGCATACTTGTCATTTCATCTGCTTAATTAACTACTTTTTTCTCTCTCGGGGGTAGGGGGTGTGTTCGAGGGGATGGCGTTGATTTTAAAATGGCCAGCAAAAAGATTTTTCACCAATACAACAATAGGATTTGTGTTGAATAGATTCATCTCTTTCTTAATTTTGTGTCGGGATTTGAACTTGCCCCCGCCCGAAACCCGCAACATGCACATGTTCAAAGCCGCACCACCCTGCATTCACACTGTATCATTGCCATCCCTATAGACTAAGATCAATGTTGTGACATCTCCATTCTTGTTTTAGAAAAAAGCAAAACCATCTCGCCAATATAGTGTCATGGATTTCGAAACTTATACAAGTAAACTCTAGGACGAGGTCCGGATTCTTACCGGACAGAACTTTAGGACATATATCCAGCTGACTAGTACAGTAGTTTTCGTCTCATATGTTGTGTGAACCAAGCTGACTCCGTAAGAGCCTATGGACTAGAAGAGATGAATGAGATTGGGTCAATTGGGATTATTGGGTCAAGTAAATTATTAGAGAGTTTTATTTGGGATCCATACCCAATTAGCAAGTGGTTAAAAAGGACTAAGAGTTAAAAAGAAGGAAGGATGCGAATTATGTTACACCTTCGACTCAAGTCTCTGTTTCTCACCTATCTTCTAAGTATGTATCTCATCCCCTATTCTGTCTAGTTCTCATCTCTTTCTGATTACCTATCCTATTTCTTCTTAGCTTTCTGTTGCAATTTTCTTACAATCGTTAAATGCTTTGTAAGAATTTTCTATGTGTAGTTTGTTTCAGATGCTCATATATTTTGAAGACTAATGTGTAAATTGTTACATCTAAGTTTCAATGACAACAATAGTGCAAATCTAATCGTCAAGGAAAGTTCAAAGACAAGGATATCAGAATAGAAACGAGATCAAAGGCAACATGAACAATGCTAAATCAAAGGAAGTCAAAGCCGTAAAAAAGGAAACAAAATAAGTCCAAACGTTTTAGTCTCAATCAAAGGATATCTAGGCTGTCTCAACAAGGAAACATATCAAGTGCAGCTGCTAGAGAATATCAGGCCATACTTCAAGGACTAAATTAGAATCAGAATATTGATCAACCAAATCGAAGCCACAAATCACTCCCCGAAATTTGGATATGAAAGGGAAAGGATGTAAACGAATGCAACCCATCTTACGTGCAGGATTCAGAGGCACCCCTTGGGTCAAATCTCTTAGAGGATTCTGTGCCTCAATCAAAGATCAATCTGCAACGACTATTCAAACTCTCCTATAAGAAGACAGGCAATCTCAAGAAGAAGATTCACGCAACTACACAAACTGTTCTCTAAGCCTTTCTAGTTCTTAGTACAAACACTGTATTCTTGAGTCTACAACTGTCACAAAAGATAGAAAGAGTTAGAACACAAAAAGAGAGTTGTGTCAACATTATAAAAACCACTGTTGCTGAATATCGTTGATGGTGAACGTACTAAAACCATCACTATTGTAATCCAAAGATCTAAGAGAACCCTTGTGACCCAAGGGAACTGGACGTAGGTAACCAGTATCAAAACTGTTGTGCCTTTTTTAACCTTTCCGTTTGTTTATTTCATTCCTACTGAAATTGTTCACTATACAAAACCTAGTCGACTAAACTCACACTTAGTCAACCAAGATTTTAATTGGCTACAATTCATCCCCCTCCTCCCCCTTGTACTTTCATAAATAACCAAGCTATTCAACAATTGGAAAGATGGTTTGCAAGTTTGATGCAAACCAAACAAATACAAAGTGATTAACTGAGTTGCAATCATAAACAGTCCACACCATTTCCCACCACCCCTACTTCTCCTTTAATTTTTTTCCCCTTTTAGAACTAGGTAAAGAAAGGAAAACTTCACAGGAAACTCTCCATAGTTATCTGGTGTAGCTTGGTAGTGCCATCAAATTTAACAGTGCGCAGAAGAAGTGGAGACTATGAAAAAGAAGCGGGTGTCTGTTACTTTTTAATTGTGACTATTTTTTCAGTTAGTGTACAAATGTGGGTTATATTCTACATTAGCAGCCTTAAAAGTGGCTATTTGTCAAAATCATCCCATCTTTTTCCTCTTTTATCTTCTTTTGCACAATAAGTTGTACACGTATTAGTTTGCTATACGTTGTAATGACTACTAGGTTGTTGCACAAATGATATGGGTCGTTCAATGCCATATTGTAGTTTACTAGTCCTCAACAATCAGCAGCCCCACGCAGTACAAATTGACTGACTTTCACTAATACAACTTGTAATACACATAATTAGGGGTGGCAAATGTGCGGGTCGTGCCGGATATTCGCGGGTTAAAAACGGATAATTCAAAAAATGGATAAATTATTCGATCCGATCCGTATTTGAGACGGATAAAAAAGGAGTTATTCGGCGGATAATATGGATATCCATATTATCCATGGCTTCTTGAATATGATCACTTGAGGGGGAATTCCTAGTCTCCCAAACTTGAGAAACCCTAATTTGAGGCTTTACAAATGTAAAAGTTAAACACATTAGTTATCCATTGGTTAACCATTTTCTAAGTGGATAATATAGTTCTTATTCATACTCAATCCATTTTTAAAAAGTTCTATCATCCAACCCATTTTTAATGGATAATATGGTTGGATAACTGTTTTCTTTTACCCATTCTGGCACCTCTGCTCATAATTGACACTCTTAAGTCTTAATCATGAGTTTGAAATCATTAAATAGTCAACTTATAAATTTAATGCCGTAGAGAAAGAAAGGGCATCCGGGTTGACGTTTTGGCACATCTCATTAAGGCAAAAGAGAACTGTGCCTGTAGCGTGGCCAATGCCCACTTCCATAAATAGACAATCTAAGATTAATGATTTTCCATATCCATTCTTGTTTTAGGAAAAACAGAAACATGCATGTTATAGTTATGGGCAGAAGTTTCGATTTCCTGTTTGCTCTTGCAGTTCTCATTCTGTTTCATCACCATACTTCAGTGGCTACTGTACCCAACATTAACACTGATGAAGCAGCTCTTCTTGCCTTGAAATCTCACATTTCTTCTGATCTTAACAACTTGTTACAAAGCAACTGGTCTTCTTCCAGCCCAGTTTGTAGCTGGATTGGCATCACTTGCAGCTCTCGCCACCATCGAGTCACAGCTTTAGACATTTCTAGCATGCAACTTCATGGTACCATTCCTCCGCATCTAGGAAACCTCTCATTTCTTGTTTTCCTCGACATCAGTAACAACACTTTCCATGGGGAGTTGCCAGAAGAATTGGCTCATTTGCAGAGGTTGAAACTGATTGATGTCACAATCAATAACTTCACTGGTGGCGTCCCACCATTTTTAAGTTTGTTATCTAACATCCGATACATGTACCTTTCGAGCAACCAATTTTCGGGGAAAATTCCATCTTCCCTTTCCAATGTAACAAAACTGGAGGTGTTGACACTAAAGGAAAACTTTCTCGAAGGAGTGATCCCTCGAGAACTCCGTGATCTTCGTCATATGACTTTCATAGACCTGCAATTCAACCGGCTCACTGGCTCTATACCGCCATCAATCTATAACATTACACCAATGCAAAAGATTGGTCTCACCTACAACAATCTTACTGGTAAGCTTCCAACAACGATATGTGACCACCTTCCAAACTTGGAAAAATTTGGCATCTCGTACAACTATCTAGATGGCACTATTCCACCAAACTTAGAAAAATGCAGAAAGCTTCAGATGTTGTCATTGTCTGGCAATGATTTCATTGGAACTGTGCCAAAAGAGATAGCCAACTTAACAGCTCTTATGGAATTATATCTTGGAGATATGCATTTGGAAGGTAATTAATATGATATTTCCTTATAATAAATCTTAAACATAATGTTCTCCTTTTCTCCCTGGTACTCATATATTTCCCTCGATCACTTGATAGGAGAGATACCAGTGGAGCTAGGTAATCTTAAGAAACTACAGTTGCTGGGATTATTCGGGAATGAGTTTATTGGTTCCATCCCTACAAGCATTTTCAACATGTCAGCAATTCAGTACCTATCATTTGACGGAAACAGGCTTTTAGGTACTCTACCTTCAGATTTAGGCCATAGAATGCCCAGCCTTGTAGAATTCAATTGTGCATTGAATAATCTGAGTGGTTTTATTCCTGCTTCTATCTCAAATTCTTCAAGACTCAGAAAACTTGATCTCAGTGCCAACAGTTTCACAGGTCCAATTCTTAAATCACTTGGTAACTTAGAACATCTTGAGTTTTTGAACTTGCAGTATAATAATTTTTATAGTGATTCAACATTGAGCTTCTTGACATCGTTGACAAACTGTAGAAAACTAAGAGTAATAGGTTTATCTGAGAATCCCCTGCATGGGTTTTTTCCTACATCTGTTGGAAATTTCTCTGACTCTGCACATTTTTGAAAGCTATGCTTGTAAACTAAAGGGAATTATTCCTGAAGAAATTGGTAATCTTACTGGAGTGACAAGGATGAATATGCTTAACAATGAGTTGACTGGACATATTCCAAAAACTATCCAACGCATGTTGAATCTTCAACAACTTTACCTACAAAGAAACAAGATAGAAGGAACCATACCAGATGTTATTTGCACTTTAAAGAATCTCGGTGCATTAGACTTGTCGGAAAACCAGCTTTCTGGTTCAGTGCCTCCATGCTTAGGGAACATTACCAGTTTGAGGAATCTTTATCTAGCTTATAACAGGCTGAATTCAACATTACCTGCAAGTTTAGGAAGCCTTCAAGATCTCGTAGAATTCAACGTTACATCCAATTTATTAAGTGGAAAAATTCCTCTGGAGGTTGGAAATATAAAGGCTGCAACACTCATTGATCTATCCAAAAATAATTTTTCTGGTGAGATCCCTAACACTCTAGTGGGTCTGGATAGATTGATCAAACTTTCTCTAGCACATAATAGATTATATGGGCCTATTCCAAATTCATTTGGAAGAATGTTGGCCTTGGAATTCTTGGACTTTTGCTATAACAATCTTACTGGTGAAATACCAAAGTCATTAGAAGCTCTTGTGTATCTCAAGTACCTGAACTTCTCATTCAATAAACTCAGTGGAGAAATTCCCACTGGTGGTCCTTTTGCAAATGCCACAAGTCAATCTTTCTTGCCCAATGATGCACTTTGCGGTGACTCTAAATTTCACGTGCCACCATGTGTCACCAAATCTCCCAAGAGGAAAAAGAAAATTTTGGTTTTGTCTGTCGTTTTGGGAGTGGGTCTAGTATTTCTTGCATTAGCCCTCTTTTATGTATTTTTGAGGTTGCGAAAGATGAAGAAGAATGCAAGTCAAGCAGATTCGTCTCTGGTGAAATTTAAAGGACATGAAAGAATTTCCTATTATGAACTTGAACAAGCAACTGAAGGATTTAATGAAAGCAACTTGCTTGGTATTGGGAGTTTCAGCATGGTCTACAAAGGGACACTTAAGGATGGTACTCTTTTGGCAGCAAAGGTATTCAAAGTGCAATTGGAGGGTGCATTCAAAAGTTTTGACACAGAATGTGAGATGCTTCGGAACCTTCGCCACAGAAATCTGGCCAAAGTCATCACCAGCTGCTCCAACCTTGATTTCAAAGCCCTAATTTTGGAATACATGCCCAATGGGACACTTGATAAATGGTTATACTCTCACAACTTATTCTTGGACTTATTACAGAGATTGAATATAATGATAGATGTGGCTGCAGCATTAGACTATCTCCACAATGGCTATTCAACACCTGTGGTGCATTGTGACTTGAAGCCAAGCAATGTCTTGCTAGATCAAGACATGATTGGCCATGTCAGTGATTTTGGCATTGCCAAATTGCTAGGTGCAGGGGAGACTTTTGTCCAAACAAGGACTATTGCAACCATTGGATACATTGCTCCAGGTAATAGAACTTTTTAAAAGTTTCTTTATATCCTTAGAATACCCAAAATAGTTTTTTCCCCTGGGAAATAGTTTGATACTCAAAGCTTTAGCATATTCCTCCATAACTAGGAAGCTTTTCTTATCATTTTTGACCATGATTGCAGAGTATGGACAAGATGGAATAGTATCCACAAGCTGCGATGTTTATAGTTTTGGCATTTTGATGATGGAGACGCTTAAAAGAATGAGACCAAGTGATGAAGCATTTACTGGAGACTTGAGCATACGATGCTGGGTTAGTGATTCTTTTCCAAATGGAATTCATAAGGTGGTGGATGCTAATTTGGTACAGGCAGGGAATGAAAAAAACGACACAAAGATGCAGTGTATGTTATCTATCATGGAATTAGCCTTGAGCTGCACCTTAGTGAAACCTGATGCAAGAATTAGCATGGAAGATGCTCTCTCAGCACTTAGAAAAATTAGGCTTCAATTTGTCAGTAATCGTCACTAGGTGGAAACAAACCATCTGCTCATGTACGATTGTTGCTTGATTACATATTTCAGATGCATTAAGCTTTCAATTTTGCACAAGTACTTAAATTCTCTGAATCTTGGATTGTATGAAGCAACTCGTTTCTTAATATATGTAGTTTTTATGATATATGAAAGTCTAAAATGAGATTTTATATTGAGTGAGAGAAGAGGATAAATTATGTGAAGTTACAGGCGTAGAAATAATTACCTGTGCTTTCTAAATGCCATTACATCACCATTCACAGTTCCACATAGGTCATTCTCACATGCAACAGTATTATTAAGTGATGACAATGAATTCAACACTATGATGCCAGAGTCAACATAGCTTCCACCATACCTGCAATATACAAGGCAAAGGGGATCATAAAAGTTATATTCACAACATCCACTGAACTATGAATTTTACCCATAAAACACTTCATAATCATCATTATCACTTTATTTAGAGCAATGCTGAGCTAAAGGAATCGGCAAAATTTCTTTATTACTAGGCTACAGCTGTCAAGTTACTCCTTCAGTCAATCTCTCAACCATTATTCAACTAGTGAGATTTCACGAATATTTGTAAAAAGAAAACAAAACATAACATGTCTCATATAAAATTGCATTTTTTATTATAGGAAAGAATAACCGTTTTTTTAATCCAGCACTAAGGCTGTGCTTTAAAACATACGATAGTCCAAATAGCAAAAGTATCTAACACTGTTTTCCATCAATTGGAAGTCCTCTTTACACCAAAATAAAAATTAAAGTATACAATTTAGCTTGATTTTCTAGACGGAGCTGACTTTTCCTTCAAAATATCTCGCATTTCTGTCACGACCCAAAATCCAACTAGTCGTGATGGCACCTAACCAAACCCGCTAGCTAAGCCAAATGACAATAGACACAATTTAATGATAATGATAAGAGTTAAAAAGTAGAGAAATGTAGTATGAGTACAACCGACCTCATGTACTCAATAAGCATCCTAACTAACCTGGGCGAGATGATAGAAACAAGAATTATAAATGATACTCGCTATAAAATTCATACATTTCCAACAAGTATAGAACATATATATAATCAATCAGGAAATCACAGGTAAAAAAACGATTATTCTTTCCTATAATAAAAAATGCAATTACCCATAAGCCAGTCAATATCACGTAAACAACGCAACTTTCCCACCAACGCGCCTCTACTCAGTCAACAATCCAGCATATAAAGAAGATATACAACTAAATCACGTAAACAGTCAAGAAAATTGCAAGTAAAGATGAAATACAATAACCCAATATCAGTCTGTTGAGGCGCGCAACCCGATCCAATTACCCATAAGCCAATAACGCCTGTTGTAGTGTGCAACCCGATCCAAATAACAATGACCAGCTCTCCCAGAACTCACATCAACCAAAAACCTGTCAATTTCTCACAATCCGCGTGTACACCATCAAGAGAGAAACATGAGAGGGTGACCCTAGGAGGATGGATCCGTATTCACACGCTGTACGGACAACTCACTTGCTGAACGGATAACTCACGTGCTGCACGGACAACTCACGTGACAATAATATCAATAACTAGATCTGCATGGACAACTCTCGTGCTGCACAGACAACTCACGTGCTAATAATATAACAACTGCACGGACAATTCACGTGTTGTACGGATAACTCATAGACTAATAATCACAATCCATGTGGCATGGTCACAGGCGCAATATCACAATCTGCCTGGCATGGTCAAATGTACAATATCACAATCCGTCTGGCGTGCTCTCAAGTACAATATTGCAATCCGCCTGGTGTGGTCACATGCACAATATCACAATCCGCCTGGCTTAGTCACATGCACAATATCACAATCTGCCCGGTGTGGTCACATGCACAATATCACAATCCGCCCGGCGTAGTCTCGGGCATAACAATATAAGCCGCCTAGCGTGTTCACAGGCATCCAGTCAAAATCATATTACATAGAAGCAGATGTACAAGTATACATGTATATGATGAATGAATAACAGATCTCATGCTCTTTGACTGATATAAATGACATACTAAAGTGGAGCCATGTGCAATGTGTGCTATCATAACTCAAATCGGCAATTTCATCACAGAAATAGCAATTATCAAGTTTATTCAGGGAATTAGCCTCTATGTGACCTCTAACATGGCTCAAATAGTTCACAACAAGGTTACAAATATGAGAAACATTATGGCTCAAACCTTAGCAGTCATTTCTAGGCATACCAAAGCCTAAGCACTACCCCGAGCATGAGTGAATACCCCGGTACTCGTACATGGGCTCACACCCCACACATATGCGCAACCATAGCACATAGCTATCACAAATAATTCAGGCAACTAATGCCTCAATCAAGTTTAGATAGGATACTTACCTCAAGCAAGAAAAAATAATACCGATCAAGCCAAACAACACTCTAGAAATTCCATCCCGCACGTATCAACCTCCGAACGACTCGAAACTAATCAAAAGCAACTCAAAAACATCAAATAATTCCTTAGAAAGCAAACCCAAACGATAAAGGTAGAATCTTTAATCAAATACTCAAAGTCAACCAAAAAGTCAAACACGGGCCGGCACCTCGGAACCCAAAAAAACTCACAAATTCGGATAACCCATTCAATTACGAGTCCAATCATACTAATTTCATTCAAATCCAACTCCGAATCAATATTCAAATCCCAAATATTCACTTTAGGAAAGTTTAGACAAACCCCCACCCAAATTTCTCTTTTGAAATCATCAATAAATGCCAAAATCGAATATAGGATCATAAAATATAATCAAATCTGAGTCAAAAATACTTACCCCAATCCATGTGGTTAAACTCTTCTCCAAAATCGCCCAAAATCGAGCTCCAAATCTCAAGTTGTGATAAAATAAACCTAAACCTCGATATATATGCTCATGCTCAACACTTCCACATTTGCAGACAAAATACCGCACATGCGGCCTTGCATTTGCAAGCAAAATTATCGCATTTGTGACTAAAGCTTAAAAGACCAAGACCGCACCTGCGACAAAAGCTTCCGCACCTGTGACTCTGCAAAAGCGCATGTGCAACCATAGAAGCGGACACCCAGCTCATGCTCCATTCTCACAGAAGCGACCCAAACCTCACAGAAGCACTTCCGCATATGCGCTAAATCCTTCACAAAAGCGGAACTTACTTGGACACCTCCATTTCGCAGAAGAAATCACTCTATCGCATAAGCGAGTCCGCACCTGCGGCCAAATATGCATAGTTGCGAAGAACCAGCACCTGAACTACCAACATGACCAAATTAATGCGAAACTCATCTGAAACACACCCGAGCCCCTCGGGACCCCGTCCAAACATGCTAACAAATCCCAAAATATAAAGCGGGCCTACTCAAGGCCTCAAATCACACACAATAACATCAAAATCATGAATCGCACATCAAATCGAACTTAATGAACTTTTAAACTTTTAACTTCCAAAACTCGTGTAGAACCATATTAAATCATCTCGGAATGACCTCAATTTTGCATAAAAGTTCCAAATGAAATAACAGACATATTCCAACTGCTGGGACAACAATCTGAACCCGATAACACCGAAGTCAACTCTCGGTAAAACCTATGAACTTTCTAAACCTTCAAATTGCCAACTTTCGCCAATTATGGCCAAAACCTTCTAGAAGCCTCCAAATGCAAATTCGGAAAAACGCCCAAGTCCAAAATCACCATCCGAACCTAACGGAACTATCAAAACTAAGATCTGGGGTCAAATACACAATAGTCAAACTTGGTCAACTCTTCCAACTTAAAGCTTCTAAAATGAGGATCATTCTTCCAAATTAATTTCGAATACCCGAAAACCAAGACCGACAATACACGCAAGTCATAATACATCATACGAAGCTACTCATGCCCTTGAACCATCAAACGGAATGCAAATGCTCAAACTGACCGGTCGAGTCGTCACATTCTCTCCCACTTAAACATACGTTCATCCTCGAACGTGCCAAGAGTCATTCCAAAGCCATCAAATCACTATGTAAACTCACCATGCACATACCCGAGAGTAATCCCACGTCACTCCAATCAACATAAGTCTGTCAACTCCACATAACTAAAGATTTTTCCTTCAACCTTAGTCCATAAGCCTTGGAACCAAATTTCTAACATTCGGAATCCATTACAAGACCCGATTCTCGCATCTATACACTGTATAAGTCTAAACAAACTGTATCAAGCCATAACCGTAATCCAAGATGTAATCACATGATATACCCTATAATTCAGATACTCATTGCAATATCTTCCAACAACAATAACTGCTCATTAACAAATCTGGTACCGGTAACAAACCTCATATCAAATAAAACCTTGTTCTAAAACTTCGTACACTGCCAATGATGAAAGAAACATGCAGAAACTCATAATCACTCATCATATGAACAGTCATGGAGTTCTCTCGTCCGATAAGAACAATGGCCAAATTCTAAGTTGACTAATGACATGATTCTTCCAAATATAACGTAAATCAAATCCGATAGCACCCATTCTAGGTCCAATGACCTCATCTCATCAAATACAGCTACTCTACTGACATGACACACCAATACAACCTAAATCCACAAATCGTGCACTAAAAAGAAACAATTCAAATGTACCAAAAATGGAAAAATGACTCAAATGAGAGAACCGTTCCGCAAGCTCAACAAGTACCACCATAAGCGCAATGCTATAAACCCAACACACATGGAGAACCAAAAAATACAAAATCAACACAAAGGATCATATCCCAACATAACTCCGCTGAAGGGCGTGACCCAATTTAAACTCCGGTCAACATGAAATGCCTCGAGCCATAATGCTCAAAATCAACAACCATACGCAAATCAACAACAAACACATGAAGTGCATGACCTTAATCATGGAGGAACGGATAGAACAATATACCATAACCCGTAAGAACATAACCAAGGCGCAATCAACCAT